TTTTAATATAAAAATCAACAATATATCCCTTCAGGTCGGAGGAACTCGATAAAATTGAAGGGAGTTCAGTTGCCTTAAATGGCAATTTCAATTCTTTTCTTCTTGAAATAAAAGAAATAAAATTTTAAACAAAGGATATCAATCCCAAAGTTTTTTTTTTTTGGGTAATAATATCAATTCCAAAGTTGGTGCTCTAGTGGCAAAGTTCCTGAAAAACTACTCGAAGTCATATGTTCGAACCTTAAGGTGGCAAATTTAAGGAAATTTTATCAAAAGCTTTGAACCAACCCTGGAGAAAACAATAAAAAAAAAATTGCCGGGCGAGATGGGTCAAGCGGTTTTCCCAAATTTGGATGGCCTGATCGTTCAAACGGGCCTGGGTAACAACCCAGCCCGTTTAACAACTGGATGATGGTTGGACCGATTAAATCAATCGATCTGGTCCAGTTTTTGAAAACACTGGTGATAAGTGACTCGCTCTTATAATTACATGTATACAAGTTTAATCCATCGTTGCGCACATGCAGCTAAAGATATTAGTTTTAATGCTTAGGATTACATCCACTAAAAAATAAGTGCTATTTTTTATGTCAAGTTTAAGATTTAAGTTTTATCCTATAAAAAATAAGTGTTACAACTCTTGGTGTTTGTCTAAAATCATTTGTTGTTTAGTTGATGAATGATATCGATTCAAGAAAACCGTGTTGTTCATAAAAAACTCGTAAATACTCAGTGCTTGCTCTTGCATCATATAACATGAACTGGTCAAGATTAAGGAGTTTATGTATTATCAGTGAGGTTGCATTACGCTCTTCTTAGATAGGTGACATATTTTGGAAGTGGTGCATGGTGCATGTGCTACATGACACATGAGTTGGATCCCCTCTGATTGTATCTATGTTCATCTCACACTTTAGTTCACTTGTATTTGGGAGATAAAAATGCATAATTGTGAGTTATTTATTTTGATTTCCTGCATCTTTCTTTAGGAGGCTGATAGTTGTAAACTTCTTAATCTGTACATTGTGGATAGATAATTCCCTTGGTGGCACAAGAGCTTACTTTCCTGTCTACTCACACAAAGATAGTTCCCGTGGCGTTACATGGTTGAAGATCTTTGGACTACTATACTGGAATTTATTATCTCTTAAGATATCAATGGTTAAATGATCTTGGTTTCAATTTAACTTTGCAGAGAAGTTGGCAGAATACCAGCAGCAGTTTAAGGGAAACATAACTCACGAATTCGGTATGTGCTCTTTTTAAGCTGTTGCTCATTTTATGCTATTTTATCACCTATAAAATGTTCTTTTGGGTGGGTAATTGGCTTGATAAACTTTCCTTACTACACAAGTTTATATTTACATAATAAACTCTTGTCAAGTTTTACTAAACAAATACATGTTTATCTTGCACTTGGACCTTTGGTCCAATGACTTCAAATCACACGTAAGTGTATTCTTTTAGGTCAAAATAACTGTTTGAATTCCACCTATTGAAAATTTGTTAAAAAAAAAAAAGAAAGAAAAAAACATGTTTATCTTTGCGTTAGTGTACCAAAGACAAAGAGTCGGTTTCTGACAACAATGTCACGCGTCGTCATCTTATTGGCACATTTACCATTGATCACGTGGATGTGTCACAACCACTATGTTTGTGCTTTTAGGTTTGATATGGCTTTTTAGGCAAAAAGTACCCGTTTGCCCTTAACTTTTTGATTTTGAGGGTTTTTACCCTCCATATTACAATACATGGATTTTTGCCCTCTATATTTTTGAGTTTGAGGAAATGAGTTAAAATTTAACATTGGAACGTCACGTGTAGCACGTGCACCATTGGCCTCCGTCAAGTGTGCACATGTCAACGCCACCTCAGATTTTTTTGACAACTTGGCATGCCAACTTGGAACCACATGAGCGGGAAATCTATCTGTTACCAATTTTATTTGTGGGCCCCACTGCTAACTAAAGGTTTGAAAAAAAAAGGTTAAATCCTCGATTCAGTCCTTTAACTTTCATTTTTGAACTAAATTTACCCTTGAACTTCAAAATATTGTGACTTGACACCAAAAATATAATTTAATAAATAAAAATTTCTTTTTTTACTCCTTCTCTTTCCTTTTCTCCTTCCCCTCCCTACTGGGTTCGAAGGAACCCAGCACCAGCGCTTGGGACAAATCACAGTTCTCTGCCTCTTTTCTCACAACATCAAGAACAGTATCAATGAGCTCAGCTCCCTCAGTGTAATGGCCCTTAGCCCAGTTGTTACCAGCGCCAGATTGACCAAACACAAAGTTATCAGGCTTGAAGATCTGACCGTAGGGACCAGTCCTGACACTGTCCATAGTACATGGTTCCAGATCCATGAGCACAGCACGCGAGACAAATCGCCCACACGAAGCCTCATTGTAATAGACATTCACACGCTCCAGTTGCAGATCAGAGTTTCCATTGTATCGTCCTGTCGGATCAATACCGTGCTCATCACAGACCACTTCCCAGAACTTAGCACCGATCTGGTTCCCACATTGTCCACCCTGAATGTGAAGGATCTCTCTCATTGTTTAACAACAGATCTGCAAAAACAGCAAAACAAGCAGATGTCTTGACTACAGACATAAGACTTAAGCAGACAAGGAGTTAGATGACTATACTATCACTATCAAATATGAAATTTCAAACACTAAAATACCCGAGTTAGCAATTTCTCTGATTTTCCAACCTACTTTCTCGGCAAACAAATAGAAAACCAAAGATGAGGATTTTATACTTACATCGATCAGAGGCGGAGAGAGAGATAAGAGAGTACAGAGCACGCACGCCTGGGTTCCTTCGAACCCAGTAAGGAGGGGAAGGAGAAAAGGAAAGAGAAGGAGAAAAAAAAAAGGAAAGGAAAGAAAAAAGAAAAAAAAAAGAAATTTTTATTTATTAAATTATATTTTTGGTGCCAAGTCACAATATTTTAAAGTTCGAGGGTAAATTTAGTTTAAAAATAAAAGTTAAGGGATTGAATCGAGGATTTAACTTTTTTTTTTCGCAATGGGGCCCACAAATAAAATTGGTAGCAGGTAGATTTCCCGCTCATGTGGTTCCAAGTTAACATGCCAAGTTGTCAAAAAAGTCTGAAGTGGCGCTAACATATGCACACTTGACGGAGACCAACGGTGTACGTGCTACACGTGACGCTCCGGCGTTAAATTTTACCTCAGTTTCTCAAACTCAAAAATATGAAAGGCAAAAATCCATGTATTGTAATATGAAAGATAAAAACCTTCAAAATCAAAAAGTTAAGGGACAAACGGGTACCTTTTGCCTCGCCTTTTAGGCCTAACTGTTAATGTTGGTTCTGCTCCCAACAAAACTGTTGACCGGAAGACGGGGATAAAGAAACATTTTGCCAAATTAATTTCAAAAGTCTAAACTCTAAACTTGTTGCTTCGACATAGACGTGTTAAATTTTGGAATTTAATTATTTTTAATTATTTTATATGATTGATGATTCA